AGTTATCGTAAACTTAGGAAAGATACTTAGATAGAACTTTAATAACAATATTCTCAATCATTGTCATTATATCAGACACAAGATGTCATAGGTCTCCCCAATGACTTTCAGCAAGGCCGTTTGGAAGCGGAATACCCTGAAACCTTAAAGACACTTAAGAACAAAGAAATGGAGCAAAAAGCGTTTTTTTTTTATTTTATCAATTCCTCTTTAACTTAAAAAAAAAATATGAATAAAATTATAAATATTTCCGCCCACACGCACGAAGCTCTTCGCATCAAGCTTCCTTGTGCGTACTAATAAGGAGTGGAATTCTTTGCCAGTCTGTGTTTCTTCAAGGGTATAACCTGGGTATCTTACGGACCCGAGTGAATAGGTTGCTTATGGAACGACGTGCTCCATCGTAGACCGCATCATTGCTCACCACCAGGCGAGATAGTGGTCAAACGTCGATCAAAAATCGGTCAAAAAAACAAATTCTTCCGCTTTATATAACAGTATAATGAGATAAGTTACCAATTAATAAAATACATGTAAATATTATACGACTGCACGGTTTGTGCGGTGGCAGGGCAACCGGCTGCCGTGCAACGTGTCGCGGGTTCGATTCCCGCACAGAACAACACTTTGTGTGATCCACAAATTGTTGTTTCGGGTCTGGGTGTCACTGTGTATGTGAACTAGTATGTTTGTAAACGCACCCACGACACAGGAGAAAATCCTAATGTGGGGCAATGCTTAAAAAAAATTAAGAAATGAAAAAGATAAAACGCTAGTGGTGGTTCTTTGCTCCCTAGTTCATTCGTGTTCCTTGCGCGTGGACGTCCTGCGCTGCGCTTACCAGTACGTGTCCTCCATACGAGAACCTTCTTGCCCTCTTCTCAATCAGGATTAACAAAAACAAACCATATGTATTTGGTAACAAAAACGTTTATTAATTAAGTAAATAAAAAATAAATAAGTAGACAAAAACAAAATTTGTACGTTACAAAGCGGAGTGTAATTATCCTAAGATTAAATTAAATTAAGCTCCCAGTTTTCCTGTCCTGTAAAGAAAAAAGTAATGATAAGCAATATACCTACAAGAAATGAAATAAAGTAGAACGGTAACATTGCGTACTGTCAAACACCAAGCGGTCACCGGTGACCGCAACCTATTGTTCTATAATTGTGTCTACAAAGACGGTACTCGACGAGTTAATAATACACAAAAACAAAATCCTTCCTTGATCTTGTTTCACAATTATTTTTTCCAACAAAAACTTGTAAATTCACACGTTTCGAGTACGATTGAAACTGGCTGATTGAATAACATA